TTGTGTAATTGTTAATTTAGTAATGATATTCAGCCCAATCAAAATTCTTTTTTACGTGATAAAATCAAAATGTGATTAACGCAAATCATTACCAAATATGCAAATGTCCGCTATGCTCTATTTGATTTTATTAATTATTATGGTCAATCATTACCTATTACGCATTATATAAATATTATGATTTCTACATCTCATACTTTTGTACATAACTATCCTAACAATCCCACTATTGAAGCAACTTTAATTCCCAACTTAAAGAAATACAAAAAAACATATACTATTTTATCTCTTGGATATTATCCAGAAAATCCAATATTTACTCATTCAATAACAATTAATTTAATAATCTTCACCAAATTCAATTAATTGGAATAAAATCCTTTGTAATATTACCTTCTTAATATATATATTATGCTTATACATGATTATCATTCATTAATGTATAAAAAAATTGTCTTGATCCTTTGCAATCCAAAAATTTAAAATTAAAAATTCATAATTCTGCCAATTTTTGTAGGAATTTTACAATCTTAGATTCATTCAAAAGCCAAGGTTCCATAATTCGTCATACTAAAAAACATATGTTGTTAATATGTAAACTTTAAAGATTGTTAAAAATTTAAAACATCAATAATCTACACCTAAATTACTCATATAATCAATTAATTAATCATTATTATTTGATTTTAATCTTCACCAAAATTCAATTGATTGGATAAAATCCTTTGTAATCTTACCTTCTTAATATTATGCTTATACATGATTATCATTTATTGATGTATAAAAAAATTGTCTTGAGATCTAAATCTTTTGCAATCCAAAAATTTAAAAATTTGTAATTCTGCCAATTCTTGTAGGAATTTTACAATCTTAAATTCATTCGAAAGCCAAAGTTTGATAATTTGTCATACTAAAAAATTTTATATTATTAATATGTAAACTTTAAAGATCGTCAATAATTTAAAACATCAATAATCTACGCCTAAATTACTCATATAATCAATTAATCATTATTATCTTCACCAAAATTCAATTGATTAAAATAAAATCCTTTGTAATCTTACCTTCTTAATCTATATATTATGCTTATACATGATTATCATTCATTTATGTATAAAAAAATTGTCTTGAGATCTAAATCTTTTGCAATCCAAAAATTTAAAATTTAAAAATTTGTAATTCTGCCAATTCTTGTAGGAATTTTACAATCTTAAATTCATTCAAAAGCCAAAGTTTGATAATTTGTCATATTAAAAAATCGTATATTATTAATATGTAAACTTTAAAGATCATCCAATAATCTACGCCTAAATTACTCATATAATCAATTAATCATTATTATCTTCACCAAAATTCAATTGATTGAAAAAAAATCCTTTGTAATCTTACCTTCTTAATCTATATATTATGCTTATACATGATTATCATTCATTTATGTATAAAAAA